AAAAAAAAAAAAAAAAAAAAAAACCACTAACATACTTTCTGTCTCTTATTTTTGTTTTGTCTCTTTGAGACAGGCTCTCACTAGGTATTCCAGCCTGGGCTTGAATTCCCTGTGATCCTCCAGTCCTCCAGGCCCACTCTGGCCTCCCTCACAGTGATCCTCCTGCCTCAGCCTCCTGAGTGCTGGGATCACTTTCATGCGTGGCCAGGCCAGGCCTCTGTCTTTATAGATTTGCCTATGCTAGACATTTTCTATGAATGGTCAATAGGTGACCTTGTATCTGGTTTCTTTCATTCAGCATACTATTTATTTTTCAAGGGTCATCCCTGTTGCAGTATTGTAGGCAGCGAAATTAGATAGAAATATTATAGGCAGCCAGACGGGGCGGGGCCCTCAAGGAGACAACTAGGAAGACAAGATAAACCTGCAGAGAGAGATGGATGCTCCCGCTGTGGGCCAGACTGAAAGTCAAAAGAAGGAACAAATGCTTACCTCCCTAAAGATAAGCATCGGGGATTGATCATCACCTTGAGGAAGTCAGGAAGAGTCATTAATCCAACTGCTACTGCTGGCTACTGGATAAACTGTTCTGTATTTGTGCCCGCTGGCTATGTGACTCGCTTCTCCTTTCAGTTCTAGATTTAATCAATTTTACCTGAGCAGTGGTGCTTGTAATCTTATTGATTGGCCATAGTTTTGCCCCACCTCATGCCCACCTAAGCGAGTTCCCATGGTTTCCACCTTAGACCCACCTCACCGCATGGTTTTACTATATTAAAGTCCCTAGAAGGGACAACCACTCTGGGTCTTTTCTCTCCCCTCCCCTCCCCTCCCTTCCCCTCTCCTTCCCCCTTTCTCTCTCTCTCTCTCTCTCTCTCTCTCTCTCTCTCTCTCTCTCTCTCTCCCTCCCTCCCTCCCTCCCCTCCCTCCCTTTCCCTCTCTCCTTCCCTCTCTCTCTGATGGAAGCTTTCTTTCCCCAGTAAATATTAATTTATTCTTCAGTTTACAGAACATAAACTAGTCCCAGGTACCTTTCAGGTCGGGGGTTTCATTCCCCTATATCAGGAGCATGTATCAGTATTTCATTTTTATGACTGAATAATATTTTTTTAAATTTTATTTATTTGTGTGTGTGTGTGTGTGTGTGTGGCCAGCTCAGCCCACGGGGGGGGGGGGGGGGGGGGGGGGGCTGGCTGGCATGTGGTGCTGGGGGATTGAAGTGCAGTCCCTGTGCTTTGCTAAGCTTGTTCTAAGTAGGTGCTTTAGACCACTGAGCCATCTCACCAGCCCCTGAATAATATTTCCTTACGTGGTTATGAAACAATGTTTAGCCATCTATTTACCTATTCAACAGTTGGTGAAAAAATGGGGTTATTTCTCCACTTTGGCTATTGTGAATAATACTACTACTGTGAGTATTCATGTACAAATTTTTGTGTGGACATGTTTTCAATTTCTTGGGTAAATCATAGTTTTAAACTGAATTTTTTTTGTGTGTGTGGTACCAGGAATTGAACTCAAGACCCTGCGCTTGCCAGGCAAGCACTTATTCTACTGAGCTATCTCCCCAGCCCCAAAACTGAATTTTTAAACATTTTATCAGAATAACATATTTCTTTTATGCCAAACCAAAATTCACAGGTAAATTATATTCAGTGGAAAGTTCTCATAATTTGTGTGCTTTCCTCATTCATTCATTCAACAGCTTGTTGCTACAGATTGATTTATTTTTGAGACAAAGTCTTGCTATGTAATTTAAACTAGGTTTCAACTCACTGGCCTCAAACTCCCATAGATTCTCCTGCCTCAGCTTCCCAGGTGCTGAGATTACAGGTGTGCACCATCACACCAGGCATGTTGCTACAGATTGAACCCAGGGCCCTACACATACTAAGTATGTACCCTACCACTGAGCTATATGCCTGGCGGACAACTATTTTCTAAGTAATTATTTCGTAGGCTGTAATGAATAAAAACTTTTGTAATGTATGTAGTACAGGGTCTACAGGGTCTCACTACACAGATCAGACAAGGGTCAAACCCAGGTCCCTGCATCTGCCTAAGCAGGCGCTTTAATCCACTGAGCTATCTGCCTGCCCCACCCTTTTTGAGACCAGGGTCTTGCAGTGTTGCCCAGATTGGTGGGTCATAAAGTCATGTATTCTAGTGATCCTCCCAGCTCAGCCTCTTCAGTAGTAGCTGGGATGATAGATGGATGCTGGCATAAAGTTGCTTGTTTGGGTGAAAACTGGATACAGCTGAATTCATGCATATGGAATAGGATTAAAGGTGGATCACATGAAATTTACATTGATGGTCATTTTAAATTGCAAAAATGGCAACTTCCTGTGGCTCAAGTTAATACTAAATATCTGTTGGACTGGTGAGATGGCTCAGTGGTCTAAAGCACCTACTTAGAACAAGATTAGCAAAGCACAGGGACCGCGGCTCAATCCCCCAGCACCACATGCCAGCCAGCCCTGCCCCCTGGTGGGCTGAGCTGGCCACACACACACACACACACACACACATAAATAAATAA